CACGGGAGGTCAATGGGACACATGGGGTCACATGAGGTCAGAGAGGTCATGAGACGTGTGCGACTTTTCCCGTAGGGTGTGTTGTAATGAGACAATGGCATTAGGGCCGTAAGATAATGAAGGCGATTATGGTGATTGTGTGGAACTATGAGCTAGCCATGATTATCAATCGCTTAGCGCGTGAAAACTTGTTTTATTTTTCAAATGCATGGCAGTTTTTGATGCAGATGATAATGATTGGCTTTGGTGGCGTGTCCAACCTCTGAGGGTTATATGACGTCAGCATGGCAGTTTTTGCTTTTTTGTTTATAAAATATAGGCTGCATCGCAGGGTGCAACGATCAGTAGCCAGCAATTTTCAATACTGCAGGCGCAGGTACTCAAGCAGCCCGCGTCATCCTGTTTTACGTCACCATTCATCCACCGGAACTGATCAATTTCAGCGTTTTAGTTGGGCTAGATTGATCACTTTTTATGGTACTTACTTCATCTCTGCACGAAGACCAGAATCTGTCTTGTCTCTTCACCGCTTATCCAGAGACCCTCCAATCCAACCTTCCTCGTCCTCTAAAACCACCGTGTAATGTCCTACTAGCACCACCACCTTCTCCACTTCACCACCGCACATTGGGCCAGGCACCGCCTCCTTCATGAACTGAATGCTGAACGGGCGAAAGCCGGGGATGTTACGGGTACCGATGCCAAAACACCGCCCTGCCCTGCCAAGCAGCGCGGTGAGTCACTCAAACGCCCGAGGCCATATGACGTCACAGATCGGAGTATGATAGTAGCGGTCGTAGAAGCGTTGGCTGGTGGATTGAAGAAGTTAATTGGCGAGGTTGGAGAGTTCGGAATGACGTGATGTTATTTACGCTGTTTCGGGGTTGTCTTATGAAGTGCAGCCGAGAGGCTCCTACGACGAACGAATGAGTAACAGATGCGAAAGAAGGGAGAGAAAGGAGGGAATGAGAGGGATACAGAGAGAGAGAGAGAGAGAGAGAGAGAGAGAGAGAGAGAGAGAGAGAGAGAGAGAGAGAGAGAGAGAGAGAGAGAGAGAGAGAGAGAGAGAGAGAGAGAGAGAGAGAGAGAGAGAGAGAGAGAGAGAGAGAGAGAGAGAGAGAGAGAGAGAGATTTTTTCCAAAGTGACATGAATATTTTTACAATGATAATAAGATCAATACCTAATTGATCTAGTTAGGAATAACATATTTAGTTATCACTTATTCAGTTGCTTTTATTATCTCTCTTCCAAGTGGAACGCAAGGCATGCAGGTGGAAGATAATTAAGTAGGTACTGCTTCAAGTGTCCGAATGAATTGGTGCACCAAATCGAAAACCACGCAGTACAGGATCCAGAAGTTATGCCGAATTACTGGGAAATACCTGCAATTTAGTATACTGGCATCTGTTTTATTTTTGATGTATCCGTCACTATTGTGTTTGCGTTTCGCTGGGACCGGAGTCTGACCCCCGACACGGTGTGCCACAGCGGCAGAGATCGTCCCGGTACAGGACGGGTGTCGGGAGTGCCCCGTTGCGGGACAGGCCGCCCTGCCCCTCAAACGGTCATCGCACAGAGGGTGTGGTCCAGGCGAGGACCATGAACGTTTCCTCCATACAATGTGTGTTCGATTTTAACCCTCGCCCTGGCAGGGCATTTTTCATAACACGGCCTGGCAGGGGGGGTCGATGCGACCCCCCCCCTCGCGATTGGCTCCTATGGTACCTAGAAGCACCAAATTTGGTAGGTAGGTGAGTCCCCCGGAGTTCTCGCCCCTGTGCAAATTTGGTTGCTCTAGGTCAATATTTAGGGGGGTTTTGGGGGGTATAAATGTAAAAATTTCGCTAAAAACAGGTCAAATGTTTTTCGCTTATAACTTTTGATCTAATTAAGATAGAGCAAAAAGAAAAGCACCAGTGAACTCAGCACGTCAAGGCGCGTCGAAGGATATACTTTTTAGCTTGCTTAAGTGTACTTAAAGTTTTTCTTAATTTTTAAGTAAACTTTAATTAATCAATTAAGTTCAACCATAGACCTCTGTATACATGGACTGGACACAGAAAATCCGGCCATGACCACAACGGCCCTAAAAGTAAATGCTTATAACTCGAGAGTCAGTTTACCTATGACATCCATTTTTTCACCGCCGCATAGCCTCATTCATTGAAAATGATGGGGATCATCCGCCGAACCGATGCGGTGTGATGGGGGAGCACCTGCACGTGGCGCGTGAGAGATGTTTATGAAAATGGCGTGACAGTATCTCGGGAACGGCTGGGCCGAATGAGTCCAGATTCGGAACACAGCCAGGTATAACCCATTGGCCAATCACGCATGTTACAATTTTGAGGTGCCGATGCACGTGCGCACGTGCACACCCCTTTTCTGTATCTCAGAAACTACTCGTCCGATTTTGCTGAAATTTGATATATAGCCGGACACTAAGCAACCATTGTTGGTGCACACCTCAAACATGGGGTGCAGCTGCACGTGCGCACGTGCACACCCCTTTTCTGTATCTCAGAAACTACTCGTCCGATTTTGCTGAAATTTGATATATAGCCGGACACTAAGCAACCAATGTTGGTGCACACCTCAAACATGGGGTGCAGCTGCACGTGCGCACGTGCACACCCCTTTTCTGTATCTCAGAAACTACTCGTCCGATTTTGCTGAAATTTGATATATAGCCGGACACTAAGCAACCATTGTTGGTGCACACCTCAAACATGGGGTGCAGCTGCACGTGCGCACGTGCACACCCCTTTTCTGTATCTCAGAAACTACTCGTCCGATTTTGCTGAAATTTGATATATAGCCGGACACTAAGCAACCATTGTTGGTGCACACCTCAAACATGGGGTGCAGCTGCACGTGCGCACGTGCACACCCCTTTTCTGTATCTCAGAAACTACTCGTCCGATTTTGCTGAACTTTACTTTTTAGCTTGATACTCAGCAAGCATTGCTGGTCAACATCTCGATTTTGGAATGACTTCGCACGTGCATTCGTGCACACTCCCTGTTGTGCCTCGGACACTGAGTGTCCTCGCCTATGCTTCTAGTTAGAAAATGCTTTAAATGATAGACTGAGACATTGACAGCTGATTTCTTTCGCTTAACGTATTTGTTATGAGTGCGAGAGGATAAACAAGATAAATTTAAGTCAAATTCTTGTTTTTTAGGTTTACTGAATGTTTGTAAAGCATAGGAACTTTTACACTCCTGGTTCTGTATTTGTAATAGGCTCTTATTTTTATCACCATTTGATTCCAATACCATTGATTGTCATAAAGAATGTAGGATAAATGTTGAGGAGCTTTATTCTCGGAATGTCCTGTTTCGGTCACGAAAGGACTGTTCGCTCGTGCGACAGTCTCTGTTCTGCATCCGGGCAAAGCCTTATAAGAGGCGACCTCTGGCGACATTCAGCTATTGGGGGGTGGCGTGAAAACAAATATCATATAACAACAACGGGTAACATATGAACATCTCTTCGGGACTGTAGACAACATATTTCACTATTACACTCATCACAAAACGCCTTTCTAACCACCCCTTGATGCATCGCATGGCACGCAGCTCTCGCGACTCGACCCAGGAACGTCCTTCGCCAGGGGCGAACGTTGAAGACAGACGCGCGGCAGTCGGCGAATGTGGGGCGCTGGAATGCATCCGCACGGAGAGCCAACGCGCGGTAGCGGCGGCGGCGACGGGAGTCACGTGCGTTACTTGCAACTTCTGTCAAGAGCGGGAAGCGGCTGATCACAGGACCTGCCCGCTGACGGCGGGACAATGTCACACACACATCCGTAAGCGTACGATAACGACGGCGCTCTCGACCACCACACACTCACTGCTGTCACTTTGCACCGCTCAGTTTTCTCACTTTGTTTTCAGTCTGATCACGTCGACGCATGACTACCGGACTTGAAGATCGCCTTTTACTTGAGTGAACAGCACTGTTCACTTCTGTAGCGTAGTTGGATGTGAAGACATTGAAGAGTGCGCGCGCCATCTGTCCATATAATGGAAGAAAGCTGTGGCCTCTGGCGCACTGGAGGCTTATCAGCCGGCTGTCCTGCTGAGCGATGGAGGTGGAGACGTGCTCAAACGTGGAGCGTGGTTCGGAGCAGCCGAGAAGGGCGCGCCTCGATGCCTCATCCTGCATCAGCGACCTGTGAAATACAAGGAAAGAACATTGAACTAACATACTATGATACATGACTACTGATTACTAATTTGCATAACCCTGTCGTGCAAAGGCAAAAACGTTAGGGTGACCTCTAACCTGACGTAATGATCTCTGACTTGACTTAATCGTTTTTGTCTTTGCACGGCAGAACTGTAGCGTATTAGACAAACACTTTAAAGCAATTATAATGCAGGTATAATAAACGCTACAACAAGTTCAATTTAGATTACAATTTAATACAAAAGTACTGTCACCAATCATGTGTCGACTTATTCTAAAATTAGCTGATGCACAGGTTCTGTCTGCCACCGAGCCAGAACTCAAAGTACCTAATATCTGACAGGAAAATGACCAAAAGTTCAAACTAACTCAGACAAATTAAGCATATAAACAACTGAGTGGTAGTGCTTACCTATAAGCGTGGCAGATGTTCATCGACAAGTCCACGGTGAGCTCGGAAGGGCAGAGCAGGCCTCCCCGGTTCAGATGATCAGTGAATGTCTTCACGGCTTCTGTTAGTTCGGGTGCTGTTTCTGGTTGGCTGTCTTCCGCATCGATTCGTACTTCTTGAACCTGGCTCGGCTCCTTGTTGACCAAGAGTGCGTGGCATGCATGGCACTGTCTCCTCTTCAGCGCTGAGCGGGCGAGGTAGCCAGCCACATGTGTGATGGCCTGCTCTGCTCCCTCCGATAGAGGCTCGTGCTCCGCGCTGGCAGCGTACTCCGCCAGGGTCTCCGCCACCTCAGCGTCGTCCTGCTGTCGCTGTTGACGTGCCTCCGCCATGACAGCAGCCACTGTGCCGAGACTGTAGCCCAGACGAGACTTTTGACCCGGATGACTGCTTCCCCTTCGAAAAATTGTCTGACGCTCGCCCAGAAGTTTCCGCCAGCCAACTTCCTCAGGTAGCCGAAACGGCCTTCGATCCTGTCCGACTGTATTTTCCCCAGAAGGACATAGTCGATTACGTCACCGTGCTCTTCCAGCAGGTAGCGGGCCACGCCGACTAGACCTCTGCAGGTGTAGATGGCGGCCTGCGATGTGTCGACAGACATCTTCCCGCCTCCTTTCCTGTTCTGCCAGACTCGCAGCATAGCTGCAAAGGCAGCGAGGAAGTCCAGGCCCGTGCAGCTTTCCTCGTTCCTGGGTGGGGCCCTGAGAGGGTCACGCAGGCGCACGTGCGTGAATGCCGTCTTCACATTCACAACGCTGAACCACTTCCTGAGCATCTCGAGGAATTCGGCCGTCTGTCCGAAGTCGCGGTACTCGTTCTTCTGGCTGTAGTATCTGAGCGCTGCCACAGTCGACTCATGGGTGGCTGCCACAGCCAGTTGAACGTTGACGCGCTCAATGCTGGTGGGGTTAAGTACCCGGTCTGTCAGTTTGTAGGCCATTTTGACCTCTTCTCCCATCTCCAGCTTGTGCAGCTGTTGCAGGTGTTTGAACTGGGCCTGCACGGCCATCTCGAGGCCTGGAGGTGTGCAGACGAGGGTCTTCTTGTTCATCAGATTGAAAAAGAAGTTCTTGTACAGGTGCACGCTGTCGTACATGGTGTAGACTCTTGTTTGAGCGTTGAAGGGATTCACGATGTACTCCGGATGACGCCCGTCTTCACCGAGCGAGTTGTGAAAGGCTTGGTTTGTCCGGTGTCCGTCGGTGGTGCATGACACGACAGTGAACCCTACTTCCGTCAGGGTCTTCAGCACCGTGAAGAATATGGTGCGAATGTCTTCGGTGGTGATGCTGCATACCGGTGACATTGAGATGGTGTCCTCGTACGTGCCAGCCACAGAGGAGATGAGGGTACAGAAGATAGTACTGGCGACACCGTCTTTGCTCTCACCAAAGACGCGCCCTCCAGCCACTTCAACTGCTCGCGCCGTGTACACTTCATCCATTGCCAGATTGACCAGTCTCTCTCTCTTGGTCAGTTTTTCGATCCTCATTTGGAGATACTTAACTGTGCCGATCTCCAAACCCTCTCTCACGCTGAGCGCGGATGTGAGGCGTCGGAGGGTTTTCTTGTGCGGCAGGAACAGAACAGAGCAGCTACACAACTCTTCGTATAACTTCGGGCTGGTTCTGTCCCACACTACAGCCAAACTCATCAGCGCTTGACTATATCGCCGTCTGTTTGCTGGGACCGAGGCCAGGCGTAGCTGCTCCGCGACGAACTGACAGATGGTGAACTTATCACCACTGTCGGCTTCCGCTGCTAGATCCAAAACGCTGGCAGCAGAGGTCATCAAGTCCTTGGCAGTGATGGTGAATGACTTCAGGCGAGCAAGCACGTTCAAGACCTCTGTGGTGCTTTGGAATTGCCCAGCTCTTGCAGTTAACCCAGAAAATTGCTGAACAGAGATTTCAACACCTGCTGCGTGTGCCCGAAAGTGAAGATCTTCATATACCGTTAGGTTTCTGGTGATGACCGGGTGCCCTGACTTCTCATCCAGCTGCTCTAATCGGACGCTCAGTACAGACTCGACTCCGGCTGGGTGTGACATCTTCACTGTCGTGTACCCTGAAGGAAGCGTTTCGTTCTCGAGCTTGGTATGCATGTCCTCCAGAGTTGAGAACTTCTCCGCCTCCATCATGTCGGCGCACTGTTGTTGCAGTTGCACTTCGGCAACCTGCCGTCTCGATGATGCTGTTGCCAGCACTGTCGTGCGCTGCCGCTGGGCATCGTTGAGCGGGACAGGACTGAAAGAAAAGAAAACAAAAGAAATTAAGACACTGGCCTCCTCGCTCGGTCGGTGTACCTAAATTAATCACACTTTACCTAAAGCTCATAGCAAATTTATTGCATTCCATGTTATTTTGACCAACGTTCAATGCATAGTTGACCTCAGGTCAACGGTATTTCAAACCGGAATGCGTGTTTCAACACTCGGGTGGGCTTAGTATACCGTTGCAAGTAGGAATTTAACCCGCGCACCTCCATTATAAGCCATTGGGGAAACTTGAAAGGTGCATCTTGTGTGGAGGAACGTCACAATAAACATCGCAACAAACAGACATAACGGCAAACACCTTCAACGATCGAATTACAAGTAAACATGACGAACCAGAAAATGGCACCTTTGACCCTTCTTTATGTCCCTGAGGTCACCTTGGGTCACAAATGGCATTTAACAGTTTTTGGCCAACAGCTTTTGATAGAGGCACAAACGTCTAAGATTTGTTTGGCTTGACAACACGGATCGACCGGCATGCAACAAGACCTTTTACCGGGCAGGTCATGACCATGACTTGAGTTTTGACCTTGACCTTGACCGATTTCTTCATTATTTTTACGCTATTTCGAATGCCGCCTACTATGTCACTACGTGTCCCAGGAGCCGAGCTAGAATGGGGTGTTAAAACACCCCAGCAGGGCGTGGGAATCCAGGACCCTCAGCGGGCCCCCAGTTCGGGCACTCAGCGCTGCTAGCAAGTCACAGCGAGCTAATGTCTGCCTTACACACTCATAAATGCATGATAAAAGGTACCTTGTAGATACCGAGCTTTTACCACTTATGTTTCATGACAAAACTAGGTCGCACTAGGTCACAAAAGGTCATGGAAGTTTTGAGGAATGCATGTGGGAAATGTATAAGTCGTGTGACACGTGTTTTATGTCACTCGACGCATGTTTTAAACCCTCGCATGTGTGCGGCGTTTGCCAGCTTCTAATGTGTAGGGGGGGGGGGTCGGTTGGACCCCCCCCCTTGCCGTTTGGCCCCTGATTGAGCTAGAGCTTCGCGGAAAAAACGAGCGTGTTGCCCGTGACGAGAGGAAGCCGATGATACCCAATTTTAAGGTCCCAGGTCATTGGTTGACCTTCCAGGTCAGGTCAATGACCCAAAGTCGGGAAAATCGGGACCTGTTAGAAAGTCGTAAAGTGTGGCTGCTAAGGGGTTTTTCGGGGTGCTGATCACGAATATCGTGTTAGTTTTGATCACAGATGATGTCTTGAAGCATTTAGACCAGGTCGGGTCAGGTCAGGTCAGGTCAACCAGTAGGCGTCGTGACGGGTATTCGTAGTACGTGTCAACCGCCTCTGACAGCTTCGTAACATGTTACGAAGTCACCAAAAGTACTTCGTAAATGTTCAAATTGTTGCTAAATTCGAATTCAGCTCCAAAAACTAGCCTAGAAACATGTAAAACTCGAAAAAGTGACCCGAGGTCACCCGAGGTCACCAAAGGTCAATGACCTGACCTGACCTTCAGGTAACCTTGACACACACGGGAGTAACATCAAATCACATGTTTGAACGTTTGAAACCACGAAAAGCTTGCAAACACGCGGCTAGTGCGAGCCGACATACGCGAAATCGCGATTCCGGCCAAACATGGTCTCGGAAAAGAGGTCACAGGTCAAAGGTCATTTGGGTCAGGGTCATGAAATTTTCAAGGTAGGTGTAAAATTGATCAATGCGAGGGTACTGAAAGTTTCGTCGCGATCGGTCGCTTTTTACGCGAGTTATTCGCGAAAAACCATGGGGGGGGTCCATCCGACCCCCCCTACACATGCGAGGGTTAACCCTATTCCTGGCGGGCTCCGCCGGGACAAGAAACTGGCGGGGGGCCGATTCGGCCCCCCCCCCTTCAGATCTCAAAAACTACACATCACAGCGACAAACGGCGAACGGCGTTTGATAGGTCGTTTAAAGATCTACAACTTTTATATAAAACATTTTCAGGTCAGGTCAATATTGAGGTCACCAGAGGTCATCAACGATAAAATGTTTTGGAATTAGTTACCTATATAACTTTTAAACTAAGAAACATAGAGACATAAAACCAATACATTTCTTGTTGCTCTCGCCGAGGCGATGCGAAATAAGTATGTGATGACCTTCACAGGTCAATTTGAAATTTGACCTGAGGTCAAGGTCAGGTCATTCACCAATGAGGTTGTGGGGTATGGTCATGCTGCATACCAAACGACGCGCCTTGACCAGGCGAGCAGTTTGGTACCACTTACAAGTCTTAAGCACCATCATGTCGTGATTTATTGACAGAAAAACGATTTATGACGTCACATGACCTCACATGACCTTTGTCGGTGCCCCTGTCAATTAGCGGCACCAGGATCATCACCGATGAGATAACCTTCCATAATACTGAAAGAATTGGGTGGTTTTGACTCGTTTACACGAAGCAGGAGGCGTTTCAATATTTTCCCATAGGCTTGCAATGTAAAGGTCACGAGTCTGGCCTGACCTCAGGTCACAGATATGAAAATTCTGAGATATACAAATTGCACATACTGGTACCCTAAAAAAGCCTAAAGAGAAGAAATTGATCGGTCAGAAACTCTAGCTCTGGCGTGATTGCAAACTTTTCTGAGGTAGGGTCACCAAACCGCCTCTGGTGACCTGACCTAAGGTCAGGTCAACTCAAAATTTTCAGAAATGTTGCGTAAAAGCCTTTTAGGAAAAGTCAGAAAATTTGAGCTTCCTAGCTCAAAGCGTTTGGGAGAAATAACCAAAAAACCTCAGGGGGGCTCCTGAGCCCCCTCCCCCCGCCAGGAATAGGGTTAAGCTATGGGTACCTACAGGCTTTTACTTAGTACTCACCATTCGTGTGATTCGAAGACTGACGGAACGGCGCCGCTCTTCAGAGATTTCCTTTTACGTTCGTTCTTTCTTCTGGTTGTTTGATGAAAGTCTTCCTCACGGAAATGGAGCTCACAGACACCACAGTGATCTGGATTCCAGGCTGAGTCATTGCGACCTATCGCTAACACCCAGCGATCGCGTAACTCTTTGTCATTCGGAAAGGAAAACACAGAAACATTGCGCTGAACTAGCTTGTTTGCCTT